TTAATTAAATAAAAGAACATTGAATTTAAGTAATAAGCTTTCAAGTTTTTTATTTTGTTTTATTTTATTTAATAAATTTTATTAATTTAACTAAAAAATAAGTGTTGTTATTAAAATTTTAGCTATGATACTCTTATCTTAGATATCATTGATATTGGACATTGGTCTATCTATTGGTAGCATATTATAATATTATTTATTATATAATTATTATATATGTATAACTAAAATATATATGGTATAGATAGATAGTAAGTATCTATACTAGCTATGCTAACTACTTAAGTCTTAAACTATCTATGTATAATTGGTATACTTATTTCATTATCATGTGTTTTTTTTCAAGAAATGGAAAAATGGCATGACAGGGTAGCCTTGGTAACGGGAGCTTCATCTGGCATTGGATGGGCAGTTGCATCCAAACTTGCTTCATGTGGAGTAAAAGTTATTGCGTGTGCTAGAAACTATGAAAAATTACAAGTTAGGTTAATTAATTTTTTGGTGATTCAATCTATAAATCATTTTTTTTTGTTATAATTATTTTACTTTATTCAATTTTTTTAGGAATTAGAACAATTAGGACATCCCAATCAGATCACTCCAATAAAATGTGATTTGACAAGTGAAGAAGAAATATTGGCCATGTTTGAGAGGATCTCAAAAGATCATGGAGGTGTTGACATATGCATCAACAATGCTGGCCTTACTCACAGTGCACCACTCCTAAGTTCAAAAACTGAAAACTGGAAGGACATCTTGGATGTTTGTAATCATGTTTTGAATAATTTTTCATTATCTAATAGATTTTTGTCTTATGGTTACTCAATGTCATTGATCTGACTTTATAATTTACTTATAAGTTCATGAACTGATTTCATGTTCAATTAAGTTTTTCACATTTATCCATTTTTCCACCAGGTGAATGTGTTAGCATTGTGCATTTGTACAAGAGAAAGTATAAAGCAGATGAAGAAAAGAAAAATTGATGATGGTTTCATTATTAACATTTGCAGGTTTCTTCATCACACTGGCACACTACATAATAATATTAAAATGTCTAATTTAATTTTGCCATCCATATTTTAATTTCTATAAATTTATATTTTTTCATATGTAATTAAATTTTTTGGCTTCAGCATGGCAGGTCTAAGAATGTTGAAATCACTGGCACACTACATAATAATATTAAAATGTCTAATTTAATTTAGCCATCCATATTTTAATTTCTATAAATCTATATTTTTTCATATGTAATTAAATTTTTTGGTATCAGCATGGCAGGTCACAGGATGTTGAAATCACCGAACAACCACTTCTACATGGCTACCAAACAAATGGTCAAGGCTCTGACGGAAGGTGTGCACAACGAGCTGAGAGCTATGAAATCCAACATCAGAGTTACTGTGAGGATTCGTCTCTAATGCAACTATGTTTCATATTTTCTGTATTTCGTTTTTATTTTTTGATCCATAACGTTATGATTTAAGTAAAACAAATTCTAGGTTGATCGAAATAAATGTTTTTATTATTATAATTAACAGAATTGCAAAAAATTATTTTTTTATCTTCTAACAGCAAATCTCTCCTGCTGTAACAGAAACGGAATTTTTCGTGAGAGGCCTAGGAAGCAAAGTGGCAGAACAAATTTTCAAGGCTAACCCTGTTTGTAGAAAACTTTTTCACATATACACATTCCCGTCAACGATAATAATAACTCAAAATTCAAAAAAATGACTACAACAAATAACATTAAACTATTCTCCAATTAAAAATTATTTTGTTTGAAAAATTTTTTTCCTAGGAGCCACTGCAAGCAAACAACATAGCCGATGCTGTCATATATGCTCTTACTCAACCTCCTCATGTCCAAATATGTGATATTCTTATCAAGCCAACGTGTTCTGATAACTAAATTTGAAAATCTTTCATGTTTTTATTGTTGTTCTCTGTGCTTATTGTATCGACTGGCTGGATGGCGCACTTGTTTATTGTTTGTGGGTCTTGCTTGCCGAAATATTAGGAGCAGAAGAGTAATTTTAATATGGTTTAGGTTTCTTAATTATTTCATTAATAACAACTGGTTTGTTTATCTGAAATAAAATCAGGCTTTTTATTGAATATTTCGTTTTTCATTCGTTCTTTCGTTTACAAAATAAAAAAATTAACTTGAAAAGATTAAACCAAATTGAAACGAATTACGCTACTGTTCAAATTTCTGGTAAAGTGACCCCGAAGACATGGGTTAAAACATATACGTGTTTCTTCAGTGGGTCGATGCAAACGTACGCGAAGTCTTGCATGTTGTTCTCTCGGGATGGGAATATTGTGCTTCCATGTTTATCCTAATTTATAATTTGTAAGAACTTGTCAAAGTTTTGCGAAATATTTGTTTTAACTTGTATGTTTGAAAAATATGTTAAGTTAATGTTTTATTTATTGGTCAAGAACGGTTTGAATAGTTTATTTTATAGTTCACAAAATAAATTGTCTCACCTTGGCTACAATTTTGTACACAAATGACGCCACAACTATCTGTCCCGTTTTTGGGTCCTTTTGAACACTGTAGAAATATTAGTTAATTAATCAATGATTGTAAAATCATTTCTTCACAACATTATCGAATTTGTGATGGCCGATTATGTTTTTCCCCTTTCGCTTAGAGTTTTTTTCGGGGATATCAAGTAGGACGCGTGTGACGCACGTAAATGCCTGTGAATGAAGTTATTTTACGCGTGTCAGATAGGATAGAATGTTTGATTGAGAACCTGGTCACTACTATGGAGGAGAGTCGTCTCTATCCAAAGCATCGTCGATATATCTGAGGTATCTCATAATCTCAATGAAAAGGTCTAACTTATTTTTAACCTGATGAGATCCTTATAAAGAGATCTAGTCATGTTGAGATAAGGTTGCATCTCGTCTTCAAACTGGCAGAGTGATCCGCCGAGACAGAAATGTTTAAAAATATGGAATAAAAATTCTTTTCTATCTTCTTTGCTGTAAAGATCGTAATTGTCTGAGTCCTCTACCAACAACATCTGATTGATATAAATGATTATATCGAGTATTATGATACTCAATTATTTTAGATGCTATCGGATATTAAAACGTTTTATCTAATAAGATTTGCAGATTTAATGAAAACCGTCAATTGCGTTTCATACAGTAACTAGATTATTTTAAGGCATATTTTAGTAACATTTCGATAATTGTTGAGATCTCAAACCAACCTTTCTTAGTTCATCATCAATTATCATGTCATCATAATACTCCTCAAAGCATCTTATTATGTTGCCTGATTTTCTGACAACTTCGTCATTTTGCAGCCTGTCAAAAAATGTCATGGAAGTCTTTGTCGTTGAAACATCTTCTATTGATACCGAACCTATCTGTTGGCCTGTAACGTTTTATTTGATTAACTAATCAATTGTTTTGTGATTTTAGCGTTTCTGCTGTCGCGTTAACTATTATACAAAAAAATTAAATCTCAATTTTATTTTCAATTTATTTGAAATCAGACCAATTTATTATAATATAAATAGAAATATAGAAATCAATTTAATTCAACGCAAATTAAAATTTAATACAACACAAATGTTAATGTAGGCTAAGTGACCTAACAATACCCATTTTCCATTAGAAGATAACGTCTGCAAATTACAAAAAACTTCAGGATCTTTGAAAAAATCCTTAAAAAATATAAACTCTGTCATTCAAAACTGGATTAATAGTTTATAAAGTATATAATTGTAATTGAATAATTTGAAGTGACTGAGCTCAACCCTTACTTCAAGAAATTGCTGTTTACTGTAACATTGATAAACTTGATCGAAAGAGAATGCCTGAATTCTAATGCGATCCTTCATGGACCTTTTAACAAATTTAGATTAGCACATATCAATAAAAATTTTTAGTAAATAATAATAATATCATTATTTTTATATTAAAAATTCAAATCATAATTATTATTTTATTAAAAAATTAAAGTTAAACTTTACTAAAATAATCAAATAAATCCTATTCAAACCATTTAAGCAGAGTTGTTTTGGCATCTTTATTTTCAAGAGATTCAAATGTTTTGTTGGGTAGGAAATGAAAATTGAACGTCAACTTATCGGAGCAATTCATTTTAATTTATTATTTCCCCAGCTTACTAAACGTATGTAATCTGTACAATCTGTAACCATGACAACGGTTTCTAAGGATACAGATAATTTGTTAAAGTAAAACGTTTATGGTAATTTAAAAGTAAACTGAGACTCGCAATTAAAAAATTCCGCGCGTTACGTTAATAGATTTTCGGGAGCCCGCTAATTCGGCATTCGAACTATCGGAAATGTGGAACAATGCTGGAGGTATTGGGATGTTCCGTTCTAAAAATTTGTTTTCTCTTTAGTAGTTTTAGTTCGCGTTAAGTTCGGCGCACAACGGAAACGGCGAAAATGAAACACATTTGAATTTTCAATTTTCATCAATGAATGGCTGAATGCCTTTTTAAAAACCCTTTAAATAAAAATTTAAAAATACTCAGCATAATTATTCATAATTCAGATTACGATGGCGGTTTCGATCAGGGAGGTGGATATCTCAGTTCTCAGAGTGACACCCAAGACAAGAAGGTATTTTTTCATTTCATTGATTAGTAATAGGTTGATTATAGGTAAAGGCAGAATCACTGATAGATGCTGCTGTCTTGCAGTTTTCTGAATTCCGCTCTAGTGAAGAAAGTTCATGATTTAATTAAATTTCAATTGTAAACTACATTTTTAATTTTGGTCCACAAAATTCAATTCATTCTAAATAACTAAAGTTAAATATATTTATCTAACTATTCTCAATTTTATATAAAATAAAAAATCAATCTTTATCAATTTTTTTCATTTAAACATTTCCATATTTTTCAAAATATCTCCACAGAAAACTCGGGTGCAGCACATAATGCCATGCACACTGGCCAGGTTGATGAAGGCTGAACATGTCGAGGACAAGTTTATATCGGATGGTGTTGAATTGAATCAAGTTTGATTGGCCGATCTTCATTATTATTATTCTTAATAATAATATTACTATTTATTTTGTTGTTATGATTTGTTGTTTTTTTTAATATAAATGTTTTAAAATAGATGTATATAACAATTATAAAAAAGTTAATTGGTAAAATCAAACACCAGGTGTCAGTTGTTGCACTAGTGTTATCAGCCCAAGAAACGACGACCAATCAGGTCTATCGGGTTGATGATATGACAGGTCCCATCATGGAAGTCAGAGTCTTTGCTGATAATGATGTTAGTTACGATGATAATGGTGATAATGATAGTGAATTTAGTCAGCATGATGATAAGTGGATGTTAGGTTGAGGACGATGTTAAGATGATGATAATGAGGCTAGACTTAGGGTATTAACAATTTCTAGTTTTTATTTTTAATGATAGCAATGTAGACCTCAGAATGAGAATTCAGCAATGATGATGGCAATGATGATATAGATACTAATGATAATGACAATGATGATGCAGATGCTTATGATAAGGAGGATATAGATAATTATTATAATAATGACAAAGATGATACTAACGATACTGATGATGTTGAACTCCACCCAGCCCGATATGTTAGAATCGGATAAAGTTCCGTTATTTCGGGAGAACACATACATCCACGCCTGGGGTCATCTTCGAAGTTTCGGCGGTAACAGAAACATCACTGCCTTCAGGATTTGTCAGGTGGATGATATGGAGGAACTGACGCACCACATTCTCGAGTGCACCTATGCCCATCTCTATCATTCTAAAGAGCTGCACCTGATGGTTAGTTGGATGATGGGTTGGGATATTCATTCATTTATTCATTTATTTCTTATGTTCTTCCAGTTTTATGTTTATTAATTTTTCTGTTTTATAAAAGTTAAATTTTATAAAAAGCAGAATTAAATTTGACAGGGTAATGCAAAAGTAAACTGTCACGCCAGTCTCTCTCTCTTTATCTCTCTCTCTCTCACACACACACAAACACCTACAAATAAACATAGCGATTAAAAAATGCTCATCATTTTCAGAACCGTACTACAAACCCTGGACAGCAGCCAGGAATGAGACCTCGAGTGGATGGTGGCATGAATGCAGCAGCAACTGTTGATGCTGGGGACATGGGTCTGACTCCAGTGCAGATGCAGGTTTTTGGTGCTATATTTACTTATCTAATTGATACTGTTCTTATGTTGTTTTTTCATTTCTTATTATCTTACTTCTTAAAATCATCAAGGTTGGATTGGTGAAATTAAATAGTTGTGTTGAATTTTCTATAAACTATTCTGAATGTTGGGTGAATAATTTCTGATTTTCTCGCAAAGGTTTTGAACTTGATAAGAACAAGCGTTGAGGATCACGGCATTACAACGACCACTCTGTCAAATCAGTTGAAAGGACTGCCTAGGAAGGCTATCACGTTAGACTGATTTCTGTTCATTAGTTTATTTTACATTCTTGAAATAAGTACCTTTTTACCTGATAGGAGAAATGTTTTTCATTCATTCATTTAAATATTGATCGTATTTTTTCAGTTAGTGTCATTGCTTGATATCATTTGATTGTGCAGGCACAAATTTCATTTAAAAATTTCAACACACTTGCAAACACGCGACATTCCAACAGGGAGGCACTTGATTTTCTGAGTTCCGAGGGCCACATATATTCCACCATTGACGATGAACACTTCAAAGCAACGGACTCTATTTAGAAACTTTTTGTTATTATTTGCGCTAGATTTTTTGTTTATGTTGTTATCATTTGCTATTGTTACAATTTATATTATTATTGTTTTTATTATTGGTATAGTTATTTTGTATTCGTTTTCGTTTTATTATTAGTTATTTTTAAAATTTATATTAAAGGGATGAAAGGGAGGGTATATAAAGCATGTGTGAGAGCAGCGATGGTATATGGTGGTGAAACTTGGGTGTTGAGGAGAGAGGAGGAAAGTGTACTGCAGAGGGCTGAAAGAGCTATGGTGAGGATGATGTGTGGGGTTAAAGTGAAGGATGGGAGGAGTAGTACAGAGCTGATGTCAATGATGGGACTGAATGAGGACATTGTGACATTGATAAAGAGATCGAGATTGCGGTGGTATGGACATGTGTTGAGAAGGGATGAAAGGGTCGGGATTAGGCGAGCGTTGGAGTTTGAGGTTGAAGGAGTGGTAGAAAGGGGTCGTCCGCGATTGGGATGGAGAGAGCAGGTGGAGAAGGACAGGGTGAAAGCGGGGTTGCATGATACTGAGGCGAGTGACAGATGTGGATGGCGTCGAGGGGTATTTCGGTTTCATCATAGGTAGCCAAACGGCAACCCCCGATCTCGGGGAAAATGTCGTCTAAACGTGTATTGTTGTTGTTTTACAATTTATATTATTATTAATATTACTATTATTATTAATATTATTTAGCTACTGATGTTATCTTAGATGAGTGATGATGGGATGTGCCATGTTTCGTCGTGGGTGTCTGTGTGTGTGTGTGTGAGAGAGAGAGAGAGAGAGAGAGATAAATATTTCTTATAAAGAGTGCGGAGTCGGTTGAAATATATCCGATTCCGGTCCCTCAAAAACTACCGAATCAGTGTACAAATTTCCGACTCCCAAGACTACCTTCATCGTAGTTTTGCTTGAGTAATATCAATGCTAAATAAAAATTCCTTTAAAAAACTATTGAAATCAGTTATGGTCAATATAATTTTTTTTCTATTATTAAAATTAAAAATCATGATCTTTAAAAAATATTTTCAAACTAAAAATAAAAAATTTGAATTCATAACATGGAGTCGGATGAAGAATATCCAACTCCAGCCTCTCGGCGCATTTTGACAAAAATCTCCGACACTGGCTTAAGGTACATTTGCATTAGAGTTTACGATATCTTCAAATACTAAATTAAATACCATAAACAACTGTTCGCATAATAGTACACGTGTGTACTACATATGACCCTCTCAAAATTTTTGAGTTCTGATAAGCTGCTGAGTGTAGAATTAGATAAGCTTAGGTGTTTGCATTACAGGTGTGTAAAATTGGTTCGAATAAAATAATTGATTAAATATTTCGTTCGTAACTGAGGTAAGCTTCGGTAACAAGCTTCCTGTAGCGTGAAATAACTAAATCTCGTCAATCGATATGATTTACCCACATATGCAACATACGTACGTATTATTTAATTGCAAAAACTCGTACTTATGAATAATCGAATATAAATCATGATACCTACATTGTTATAATATATTATTATACAACCACATATATGTATACTATACTTAAAATAACACATGGACAGCAGAGAAAAGAATGTACGATGACGTAACACGTATTTGCTATAATATTTGTCATCCATATGTTTTTGGCTAGTTCGTGAACGTATCACACACCACACGTACACACACACATACACACACACACACACACATATATATATATATATATGTTGGTAATAGACCATAATTTTTACAATATTCTATAAATTCTACCGAATGTTTGGCGTTAATATGTTTGTAGTTCGTTTTTTCGATTTATATGTTTGTAGTTCGTTTTTTCGATTATATATATATATATATATATATATATATATTATGTGCACAAACATTTCTGCAAACATCATATTATATATTCTAAGTATACCTATGATCCATACATATCCAAGATGCAATGTATATGTATCCAATCCATTCATACATTTAAGAGCGTGCACACATATGCATCAGTTATATATGTATGTATGTATGTATGTATTACACATACATTTATATACAGGTATACATGTGTATTATGCCCATAAATTGGTGATCATGGTGATCTCAGTATAAATATCGAAGCCTTTCGATATGTGAATTCTATCGATGTGGTTAATCCTTTGTAATTTGAACCAGCCCACCAAGTTGTTTATTTATTCTAGGTTTACTTTTGATTAAGTAATTTAGTTAAATTTAAATTTTTGCATTTCTAAATTGTAATTTTGCCGTTCCTGAGAGATTTTGTGTGAGAGGTGGGTGCGCTTTTTGAATGAACTTTTGAAATTTTAAGTGTTTTTTATTTTTTAAAATAAAATTAAATGTCAATTGTTTTATGAAAATTTGGTCGCTTTGGATTTTTTCTGGTTATGGTGTTATGCTGTTGTAAAGTATAATGTAAGCTGTATGTATGTATGAGTCTCTTTGTGTGTTTGTGTTTGTTTTTGATGTTTGCTTAATTTTTCAATTTTTATTATTTATTTCAAAGTTTGTTTAGTTTAGCTTTATTAAATATTTAAAATTAACTGAAAAAGAAAAGAATTATTTTATTAATAATTTAATTTTGAATTAAAAGAAAACAAATAATACATTTCAACTAATTTACTAATACTAATGTAATAGTAAGTAACTAAGACTAAGATCATAAAATCATAAAATAAAGAAAAAAATGTCAAACGCAAACAGCAAGTATGTGTTTGTATGTGTTTGTGTGTGTGTGTGTGAAAATAATAATTTGTATATTATATAGACAGAATAGACAATAGAGGTATAGACAATAATAAATATTTGCATTAATTTTAAAGTTATAAAGCCATTGACTATTGAAGTGTTGCAAAAGTACAAGTACAAGTAGAAATTGTCTTTTCATCATTGTAATGCAATTCACATCATTATCTTACTACTACTTAATTAAATTACATTAATTTTCATTACATTTACATTATAGATTATCATTTTATTATATTAAATTTGTATTATGTTGAGTTGTTATGTACATTAGGTTACATTATTCTACCATATATATATTTATGATTATATATATATATATATATATATATATGTGTGTGTGTGTGTGTGTGTGTGTGTGTGTGTGTGTGTGTGTGTGTGGGTGGGTGTGAGTGTTTGTAGCAAGCTACTGTACATCACACCATATTACACTACCTTTTCATATTAAGTCAACCTCTCATAACAGTATGTAACATTACATTAAATAACGTGTTACATTATATCAGAAGACATTATTTTAAACTTGATTATACCTTACATACAAGTATTGTGCTGGGAATGTAGCATAACATTGTATCATTTATTACATCAAGTTTTTATTGAACTTTGTTCCCAATGATCATCATGATAAAAACATACATATGTATATTATATATATATATATATATATAATTATGTGCATATATATATATATATATTTGTGTGTGTGTGTGTATAATTATGTTTGTATGATTGTATATAGCACCTTTATATGTGTTGTATAAATAATGTGTATATAATATGTGTATTCATTTGTTCAAAGTTAATTCATATTTCTGAATTTTATGACTTTATGTTCATTTGTTGACTCACATAATTAATTAATTAATTAAAATTTTTTGTTGGTTATGAAAACTCAGGCTGATACATTTGCAGGTTAGTCAACTTTCACATGCAAGTTAATGGTGCCATTGTTTGACGTTACCATGTTATCCCTGTGTCTAACTATTTGATTTTCAAAATAATTTCAAGGAAATTATCAGCCACAACACCAAAAACAATCAACAACAACAAACAAGCTAACAACTAAAATTTATTATCATAAATACCATGCAATTTAACAGGACTAACATTTGGCAGATTTGCAGCATCCATCCATACAGTCACATAACTTGTTTGAAGACTCTACAGTTGCCTAGCGACAGACGCACGCACCACTAGACACACACACACATACACACATCAATAGACACACACACGCACACACACACACACACACACGATGACCCACAACTCTCGATTCAACCAAAGGACCTCGCAAGGTTTTGACAAAAAGTTAATCGGTGTCCCGGTATTTCCTGGATCGAATCAAATTTTCCACAGCAACAACAACAACAATGTTGAGAACAGCCACGCCACAACAGAGCACCATCAGCAGCTGCCGTCTTCGTTTCATCAACATTTGTTGGACAACAACCCTTATTTCGTTAGCAACAACGTCAACTCGATGTTCAGCAGCAACAACAACAACAACATCACCACTCCAACAACAGCGACATCTAACAACAGCAACAACAGCATCGGCAACAACAACAACAGCAGTGGAAGTGGCTGGAAGTTGAGACATGTGGATTTCATGCCTGGTGTTATTAGGTCCAAGAAAGATGAAGATTATGAGAAATTCAGGTTCAGATTTTTTTTTCAAAACAAACTTCTATTTTGTTTTTTTGTTTCGATTTGTCCATTTTTTTTCATTAATTTTTGTTATTTTGTTTATAAGTATGTATGTTTAAATCTGGTATTAAGAATTCCTATGTTTAAATGAATGTGTTTATGAAAAGGTAGATTGGTGAGATTGTATGTATCTGTATGTATATGCATGTAAATGTGTGAATGTGCGTGTGCATTGTATGTGATGGAGTGTACATAAATGTTTGTTGATAAGTAGGTTATGAATACATACAATATTAGTCATTCAACTTGATTCTGCATCTCCACAAGCAAGTTGAATGAATCTCTAATGTTATCATGTGGTGTGTGATGTGTGTGTATCTACGTGTTTGTTTCTATATGTGTGTGCATGTGTGTAAGCTTGTATGCATGGGTGTTTGAGTAAGTATGTGTCTCTCTGTCTGTTTGTATGTGTGTTTGCGCGCGTGCGTTTGTCTGTTTGTGTGTGTGTGTGTGTGTGTGTGCACGCGCGCATGATGATGTGTTATTTCAAGACTACAAGGGTTATAAATTTTAGTCTAAGTATTACAACTACTACTGTTACTACTACTACTACTGCTTATACTATCTTTATTACAACTGCTACTACAGCTTCTGTTGCTACTACAGCTGTTGCAGCGGCTACTATAGCTGTTACTGCTACTACTGCTGCTGCTACTAAAGCTGCTACTACTACCACACTATTTTAACTTAGTTTAATTTTTTTAGTATGGTGCATATATGTGTGTTGATTTATTTATATTCATCTTATGTTGCATTTTATAGTTAAATTGTATATTATGTTATATGGTGTGTGTTAATTTGTGCTTATTTCAATCTTGTCACTATATATATATATATTAATGGGTGTGTGTGTTTGTATGTAGATATGTGGATTTATGTATGCTTATATGTATGTATATGTGTGCATATTTGTATATATGAGTATGTTTGTATGTATGTTTATGTATTCATTGCATATATGTGAGATTTATTTTAGAATTAGTATGTGGTTCCATGTCTTAAAGAACATGTCAATTTTATTGATCATTTTGGTTTTTGCTATTACTAATCTGTATCTTAATAAATTTGATGTTATTGTTATTAACGTTGTTTTTATTATTATTATTGTTGTTGTTATTATTATTATTGTTGTTGTTGTTGTTATTATTATTATTATTATTATTATTATTATGTAATGAATATTGTTATTATGCTGTATTGTGTTGTGTTTTATTGTAGATATGTTGAAATTATTCTAATTGTTTTTCTTATTTTTCTTCTTATTATTATTATTATTGTTAGTCAAATAATTGAGCATAATTAGCTGTGATCTCATGAATTTTTTAATTTTTATAATTGTTTAATTACCTCATTTTAATTGCTTAACTATCTAGTTAGTTTTGTAATTCTAGTTAGGGCAGCATTGCTTTTTCTGCTGCTGTTGTTGGTGGTGTTGTAATGATCTCAATGTTTCAATTAATAAATAAATAATATAAATATTTATAGTCGGTGTAGTTATTATTATTTTTATTATTATTATTATCATTACTATTATATTATGGTAAAAACCTATTTTAAAGTGGCTGGATGATAATATAAAGTGCCCTCTGTTGAAGTATGCTTTCATCTCATTCATTCATTCATTCATTCATTCATTCATTCATTCATTCATTCATTCGTTCGTTCGTTCGTTCGTTCGTTCATTCATTCATTCATTTATTCGTTTTTTTATCATCAGTTCTTTTTAAAGGTACGACAAAACATACCTACCTGCACTACTAGCAACTACTGCACCCGTACATGCACACATAATTACATACACGCACACATACATATACTCATATACACACGCGCACACATACATATACTCACATATACACAGAAACACACACACACCGTGAGAATTTGCAATTTGCATGGATGTTAGATATTGGTTGGATGATCATAGATGAGAGAGAGAGAGAGAGAGAGAGAGAGAGAGAGAGAGAGAGAGGAGGGAGAGAGATAATTAGAGAATTAGGTCTTCTTATATTTCTCATTGCATAATTTTTTTTATTTGTAATGGCTGAATGTTAGTTGGCTTAGGTTCTGGTTTGACTAAGTAAGCAAGTAGAAATTGAAGTCTCCTCCTCTTAACATCACTTGTGTTTTGTAGATCATTTTATGTGTGTATTTATTTGTTTGTTGGTTTGTTCATTCGTGGTTCGTAGTTCGTTGGTTCGTTTATTGATTCGTTCGTTTATTGGTTCATCCGTCCTTTTGTTCGTTTGTCTCTTCAGTTATTTAATTTTTTTTAAATTTGTATATTTGTATAATGACGTCAACAATTTAACATCAACGACAGCAACAAAATAACAACAGCAAAATAACAACAACAACAATAACAAAAATATGAACCGTCGCTAGTTAGAATTAGAATTTAGAAGTGAACTGCTGACATGATGATATCTTTTCTAATTGATACAACTTGCCGGTGTTGTTTTGTTGATCTTACGTTCCACCTTGCACATGTGTTTGCATTTACATATGCGTGTGTCTTTTTAGTTAAAAGTCATAAACAACACTAACAACAAGAACAACAACAGCACTATCAGCAACAACAACAACACCGAAAATAGAGCAACAAAAATTGAGATGACAAAATATCAAAAATAAAAAACAAAATTAAAAACAGTTCTCTCTGTTTTGCGTATATGAGTGTGTGTGTGTGTGTGTGTGTGTGTGTGTGTGTGCATGTTTGTATGTGTGTGCATGTTTGTATGGATGTGTGAGTGTATATGTGTGTCCGTTTAAATGCATGTATGTTAGTATTTGTTTGTCTGTCTCTGTATGTGTTGTCTTGCCTTTATATGTTTGTGTGCATGTTTGTGTCTCAATAAACAACAAAATACAGTACACATTATTTAGTTACTTTAGAGAGTTAGCTATTTCAATTATTTTGTAAACATAGCCAGTGTTTATCATTTTCATCATGTAAATATGTGTTTGTAATTTAAACGCGTGATGATGACGGCGAGATGATGACGACGATGAAGATGATGATAATTATGCTATAATTGATGACTATTACTGTTATGTATATATGATTAAAGCCATGATGATGATGGTGACGATGATGATGGTGACGATGATGATGGTGACGATGATGATGGTGACGATGATGATGGTGATGATGATAACTTTAATTTGTTTTAGTTGAAAGTCTTTTTTTTCAAATCCATGATGATTCAATTAGTGGTAGAAAAAAAATTATCATCTTTAAGTGCACACACTTTTGAAAAATAATTTCTTCATTATTATTTATATTATTATTATTATTATTATTATTATTATAGTAGTCGTAGTAGTAGTAGGGGTAATAGTAGTTGTAGTAGTAGTATTAGCAGCAGCAGCAGTAGTAGTAGTAGTTATAGTAGTAGTAGTAGTAGTAATAGTAGTGGCAGTAGTAGAAATAGTAGCATCAGCCTAGTTGTCAGGTAGTGAGGGGGTTTGTTCACTACTAATTTTCTGAGTGACTACCATCACGAGGTTTGAATGAAACAAGGCTTGTTTGAAGTTTCAGTCACAAAATCTCAATTGGGACGGACAGGATACGTGATTCGCATGTCGGAGTTACGCATTCGGCCACTAGGAAACACTGGCTGACCAAAAAAACTCTACAAAGATGTATCAAAGACTATCTGAAAAGTTTTGAAATTCGTTCGAATGATTGGTTGAGGCCAGAGACAGAACTGGATGGCGTAGCAAGTTACGTGCTGCTAGTTCTTCCTTTGAAGATTTTTCTTCTCTGTAAATCGAACTCTGTCAGAACCGGAGAAAGTAACAACACAATACAATTTAAGGATGCTAATGTTGCTGAGCTGATGATACTGGTGATTCAGATGGTATTTAAAATGATAATAAATATTTGGTTGTTAAATAAAATTAACGATAAGAAGAATGATCAGAGATGATGATGATGATTCTGTGAAGATGATTATGATGATGATATGAATGATGATAATGGTGGTTGAAAATGTGATTATGATCTTGTAGTGATGATGATGATGGCGGTGTATAATGTAAACGTAATGAAATGTATATCTAGCTTAAATATAAATCATTCTGTTACTTGAACTTGCAGATATGTTGTAGTGTTGTTGTTGTTGTGTTGTTGTTGTTGTGTTGTTGTTGTAGTGTTTGTTGTTGCTGTTACTGTTTTGTTGTTGTTGTTGTTGTTGTAGTGTTTGTTGTTTTTGTCTCTGCTGTCTCTTTATTTCGTTGATGTTCGTTTGTTGTTGTTGTCGTTGTGTTGTGTCGTATTATTGTTATCGTTTTTAGTGTTTTGTTGCTTGTTTACTAGTTGCTCGGTTGCATTGAATGATGTCTACTACAATTACGTTTTTGAGACATCGTAATAATAATGCGGCGTCATTACGTTAAAAGGATGATATAACCATGTATCATTAGTTAAAATGATGATATAACCATGTATCATTACGTTAAAATGATGATATAACCATGTATCATTACGTTAAAATGATGATATAACCATGTATCATTACGTTAAAATGATGATATAACCATATATCATTAAGTTAAAATGATAATATAACCATGTATCATCCATCTATCATTCATTCATCCATCTATCATTCATTCATTGCATTCTTTCATTTATTTTATGCTATGTACTAGGCTCTGGATGAATGTGCCGGTGATGATGATGACGATGGTAGGAAGATGATGATGATGACTACGAAGTATTATTATAATTTTAATGATGATGAAGATGTTGATGACGTTGGGGATGATGATGATGTCCATGAGATAGCCATGATGATGATTATGATGATGATGATGATATCATTGGTAGTGATAATGATGAAGGTGATGATTGAAGTGATATATCATTGAATATAATGATTGATTGAGTGTATGTGCCAGTTCAACTGACATTCCTAAAAAGAAACCATGATGATGATGATGATGCCGACGATGTTGATGGTGATAATGATGACGGTGATGGTGATGATGATGAAGAACGATGATGAGAGAGCATGCTGATAATGATGATGAATAGTAATAACAACAGAGATTGAAATTACTATGATGACGATGACTATGATGCTATATTTCATGATTATGATGACGATGATGAAGATGGTAATGATGATGATGATAATAAAAACAATAACTCATACAACCAATCATAACATTTAACATCATTTCATCGTCACTAATAGGTTACTCACAACACAACACATACATTTATCTATCTAAAATCCTGTAACCAAAAACACCACATCGGACATGATTTCATCATCATTAATAAGTTACTCACAATCACAGGACAACACATATATACAACATCTATCTATCTATACACAACATCTATCTATCTAAAATCCTGTAACCAAAAACACCAAATCTGTTTCCTCTTTCAGTGCCTTGATGGAGAAAGCAAACAGCTGGTCAATAGAGAACCCACACGCTCTGATATTTTCATGTGAAACGGTCACCTGGTCGACCATCGACAAGCCCGTCTATTCAGACGCCGGGGTCATGGTCAAGAGTATGGGCTCTGATAGGAAGACCAAATTCGTCAGGGGACTGAGGTTGGATTTGTTAGGGAGTCGTGTCTCTTTCTGTTTGTGTGTGTGTCTGTCTGTCATTCTTTGTGTGTGTGTGTGCGTGCGTGTACGTTTTTGTGTAAGTGTGATTGTTTGTTTATGTTTGCATGTTTGTGTAGGTTTTTTTGTCTATGTGTAATTGTGTATGTATAATTTTTTGTTTTTGTATGAGAATTCCTTAATCTTTCTCTTTGTATGAATGTGTTTATATGTGTTTATTTGTCTGTGTGTTTATGTGTTTGTGTGTGCGAGCGTTTTTTGCCCCATTGATGGATAGTCCCAACCAAAATATTTCAGTTTTTTTGTCGGTTTTGTTTATGCTGATTAAATGATTGACTGAATAATTAGATGAATGAGTGAATGACTAAACGAAGGAATGAAAGAATGAACGAATAAGTAAATGAATGTATTAATAAATAATTGACTGAGTGATGTGTGTGTCTAAATCATTTGGCTACAAACATACATAGAATATACATTTATAGGAAACCAGCCATTTGTAACATTGAGCAGCTACAAATTATTTGGTGAATAAGTTTAAAAAAATACTTATCTTTGTTTTTTTTCTAACTCTTCCATGGAATTATGGTATTAACTAAACTAGATTAATTGTATTGATTACACAAAACTAATGTAAGCAAATATGTTTGACATATTTATGTATGTGTGTAGTTTATATATGCGTGATGTGTGTTTGTATCAGATGTTTGTGTGTATGTATATCAGATGTTTGTGTGTATGTATGTATGTATGTATGTATGTATGTATGTATGTATGTATGTATGTATGTATGTATGTATGTATGTATGTATGTATGTATGTATGTATGTATGTATGTATGTATGTATGTATGTATGTATGTATGTATGTATGTATGTATGTATGTATGTATGTATGTATGTATGTATGTATGTATGTATGTATGTATGTATGTATGTATGTATGTATGTATGTATGTATGTATGTATGTATGTATGTATGTATGTATGTATGTATGTATGTATGTATGTATGTATGTATGTATGTATGTATGTATGTATGTATGTATGTATGTATGTATGTATGTATGTATGTATGTATGTATGTATGTATGTATGTATGTATGTATGTATGTATGTATGTATGTATGTATGTATGTATGTATGTATGTATGTATGTATGTATGTATGTATGTATGTATGTATGTATGTCGGATGTTTGTGTGTATGTGTACGAACTTGTTTAAACACATTAGTACACAAGTGTACAAACTTGTTTAAACACATTAAAACAAGCTTGTCTTGCAAATTCATATTAGTTATGCGTTATGCTGGCGCTTATTGCATTTGGTTTCTTGTTTCATTGTAGTTGTTATGGCTTATTTGTCCTTCTATTATTTCAATTATTCAAACTTCTTTCTGAAACTCATCATTGTTTCCATTTATTTTTTTATTTGCCAGTTTTCTTTATTTTCTAAATAGCCAACTATCCATATACCAGTATATCCCTATAGATATATAAACGAGATAGCCCACGCCTGTCGGTTATCGAATTTTTACGTTCATCTCTATCCACATTTTTTCCTTACTGGTGTGTCAGATTTGTTCTGTATTTCTTCATTCACCTATCTATACATTCATCGGTCTATCTATCTACTCGTTCATTCATTCATTTCATACACTCTTTCATTCTCGCTCCAAAATCCTTTCGTCTATTTTTTCATTATTTTCTCTTTCATGAAAACGAACAGTTCATTATTAACACACACGCGCGCGCGCACACACACACACGCGTGCACGCACACGCACGTTCAAACGCACGATCACACCTACAAATCAGACTTTGGTACTTTGTGTTTGAGGAGGTGTTCTATGACAAGACGTCCACTCAGTTAGGTCCGTTCAAGTTGGGCTACATCAACTACCAGTTTGACGCAAAGGCCGACAGCTCATTCACCACACTCCTCAATAAAGTAAATGCCGACATCAACAAGAAAGCTATCCCAGGTAGTGACATCTTTGTTTTTCTTAACTACCTTAGTGTCTATTTTCAAGTTGTTCATTACTTTTTCTATTTAATATTAATATAAATATTATTATTTAAAAAAATTGTTTATAATTTTTCTTGTATAATTCTCATTTTAGTATTTCTTAAAAGTATCGGCAAAGCACACACACGGGGGAGCGTATGAATACGCGTGATCTTATGCGTTACACACACACTTGCATTTGAAACCAGTCACTGCAACAACACTGCCAGACATCTTAAGCATTACACTGCCTAATTTCAAATATTCATTGGTTTATTTGCGTTAACATTCCATTTTCCATTTAATTCTCTCCATCTCATGTATACGATCTCAGGCAAGTTGGTGCGCTTGGAAACGCTGGACATGCTGAGTGACGTGAACGATGCGGAAACCTCAGTGTGGTACGAGCAGCCCGAGAAATCCAGGGACTTCACGTCGTTCGTCCGCATCTTCCACACCAGCAGGCTGGCCGACAGGTTGTCAGAAAGTGACGATGGGATGAAGGCTTGTGAGATTGGTAGGTGGGGGGAGGTGTTTATTGTTTTTATTTCGTGCCATTTGTTTGTTTTGTTGTCATGTAATGCTTATATAATGCTATCTGTTCATTTAGAAATCTCATTTCTCAATGTGCTTGATGGTTAAAACCGCCACATGTTTACATCTTCTTAACTTGGTCTATTTTTAATTTACTGACAATAAAAATAAGTAAAAAATAAAATTTATGTCACAGGGGTGAAAGATTTCATTCCTCAGATGGACAACCGCACTCCACACAGCCAGGGCTACGAAACTTATTCCGATCTGTGGAAGAAGGCAGCCAAATATTTGTATGCCAATCCACATTCCAAGTTCATCAACGTGCAGAGCATCTTCGTTAAGGTCAAGAAAGGTCGGTCGGCTCGTTCATCTTGTTTCTCTACATTCTAATAGGAATCGAAAATAAGTTTTTTTTAATTGGAAACTAGATGTTAAGCACAACGACTCGGTTATAAATAGTGTTGAAATGAAATATCATCTTTTGACCATCGAAACATTTTTAGTTTTGATAGCTTCAATAACGTTTTCATCCGTTCTCACTCAGTCTGCTTGGTCAAAATGTTTTGATTTTGATACAAAACTTCACATATACGTGCGTAAAATTAGTTAGTCACATTAACCTTTCCCTACCCCGCCCACCAATCAGCTTCGCAGCCTGATGCCGACATGCAATCAATGGTTCTGTGGGACAAATGCACCCACTGCCAACACGGAAGTGCTTACGGGAGCATCTCCAACCAAAGGACGGAGTATCTTCAAATTTTGAGACTAGTCTTCTACAAAACCAACATCACTAATCAGAATTTGGTGGCCAGTGAAGCCGCCGTCGAGGTAGGCAAGAAAATGTACTACAAGTTTTTTTCGCCGGGACCCATGAAGAGGGCATTCATCTCCGGACTGGGATCTGATGATCAGGATAACCTAGGCACGGAAAATCTCTATGAGGATTTGAAACAACTTGAGGATAAGATTAACGCTTGGATCAATTTTTCTGGTCGGTCTCTTTAAAATTTGTTTCTCCATTAATTTTTTTTTCTTCATTTAGTGATTTCAGATTTTATCGTAAAGTTTTTATGTATATCCTGTTTCTTGTATTTTTTTTTAAATTTTAAACATCTTCTCGGTAATATGAGTACACTTGGATATTTATTCTCAACAGTTTGATAGAGACGTCCATATGCTAAAACACTCACCACCCGACATCTGACATTTCCAGTATTTACAATATTGTTCCAGGTGCCAAAGTGGCAGGGGTGGAGACCATTGTGAGTCGTCTGGGGACGGGTGGGCAGGAGATGTTCGGCTCCGAGGCTACATTCGTTTACAATGGCAGAGAGAGAAACCTGTCAAGAGAACCTTGGAGAGTCACCATCAGGTTGGCTGGTTTGTTGGTTAGCTGGTTGTTTGTTCGACTGGTTGGTTAGTTAGTTGGTTGGTTGATTGGTTGGTTGGTTGATTTGTTGATTGGTCGACTGGTTGGTTGATTTATAGGTGGTTGGCTGCTTGGTTTACTGGTTGATTGGTCGATTGTTTGGTTGGTTGGTTGAGGTAGTTGGTTTTTCTTGTTGGTTGGTCGGTTAATTGGTTGGTCGGTTGATGTGGTTGGTCGGTTGGTTTAGCTAATGTTGTGTTAGATTCGATTATTTGAAGGGATTTAGTGTAAATGGAATAGTAATTTGAATCTCAAAAAAAACCGTTACACCACCACCCAGTGGCAATAATAATTGATATATTTAAGTTCATTCATCAATCCATTTAAAATTATCATTCCACGACAAGTTTTTACAGATATTTATTATAATTTTTCTTCCTAAAACTTATTTAACTAAATTCATCTTAAAATTTTTTCATTCATCACTTTGCAATCAATCTACTTGGTTAGTAAATAAAACGGGTAAACAAAATTTTCGCAAACTTCTCTCATCGAATCCCTACTCAACCTGGGGTGACATGGTGGCTGACCTCGATACTTCCAAATCTTATTTTGCATCTTCCGGGTTCAGCCGTTCCTCTAAATGGAATAAACCAGGAAGAAATCTGAGCCCGTAAGATATAAAATAACAAAAAATATAGATAACACCTATCTAACCATTCCTTCCCTGACTTAACTTACCTAACTTACCAACCCAACTACTCTATGACACCCACCACCCAAACCTACTCCCCACAGACTGGTGGTCGAGGGTGAGTTCAAGCAGATCCCGGTCACGTGGAGAAACAGCATTCAGGAGCAGATCATCAACAGCCAGACGACATTCTCTGGTGGATGTGCCTGCATCGATTGAGAAGAAAATTCGCGCCATTAACACCATATATATATATATATATATATATATATATGTGTGTGTATATATATATATATATATAAAGAGAGAGAGAGAGAGAGAGAGATTGCACACCATATAGCGATTAATTAATTGAACGTGATAACTAACTATCTTAAGACATGACAAACTATTTAAATGATTACGTAAAAATGTTTAATTTAATAACGTCATGATTGCTGTGATGACGCGGTGATGACTAGAGGGATGATGATGATGATGAAGAGGAGGATGAAGAATTGGCCAATCATATTAATGTGGTCATTGACCTTTTTGATACTTGGCGTTCCGTTCGTTCGTTCGTTCGTTTGTTTGTTTGTTTTTTTTTATCGGAGTTATTAATTTTTTTACCGTGATTTGTCGTTTGGTATATTGTCAGGTTACAATTGAAACAACTGCTTTTATTATTATTATTATTATTATTCATTATTTTATTGTTATATAATTTATTATTATCATTGTTATTATTACCATTATTTTTGTTAACTTAACGGCGATGACGACGACAACGATAAACTTGAAACTAAAATCATGGACGAATCAATTTTTTGATTTTTTTTTGTGTCAAAATATGTGATTAAAACATTTTATTTTATATAAATAACTAAAATAGTTCATAATATATATATATATATATATATATATATATATATATATATATATATATATATATATAATTTATTAGTTTTTCCAAATGCCTTATGTATTACTTCTTTTTATTCGTTGTTTTTTTTATTTTATAATTAATGTATGGTACTGCTAACAGACTAACAGACACTCACATACACGCACGCACATACACGCACGCACGCACACAGTCATACACATTATGCAAGTACAGTTACACGCACGCACAAAGACATACATACCGTTAAATATTTAGTAATAAACCTAACAAACCACAATGGAAATCCATTTGTATTCATTTTAGATGATAATTTTTTTGGTAATTTTTTGGTATTACAATACACTCTTCGAAACAACGCATCACACGCATTGCATATGATAGGTGGGGATCTGTCTACTATCGAATTCGGTCACCGCAACATCAGTGCCAGGCACTTTACCGTTACACCAGTACCAAGTGGCAATAATAATTGATATCAGTATTTTTAATTTGGAAACATTTTTTCGATTTTTAACAATAAAATATCATATTTTTTATTGATAAGGTTATAATTTTTGCCGATTCTTTAGTCAATTTTTTTTTTCTATGATTTCTAATCATTTTAATTTTAGTCATTCAATAACGTATTATTATTTAGTGTTATATCATATACTAATATTACATATGGGACTATTATTTTTCGTATTATTATTATTATTATAATTGTCCGACCCATAACGGATTGAGACTGTAAACGAGGATTATTATAATTAGTTTTTATTATAATTATTATTTTATTATCCTTAGTCCTTTTTTTCATTGATCTATCTGTCTGTATGTTTGTCTGTCTGTCTATCTATCTATCTATCTATCTATCTATCTATCTATCTATCTATCTATCTATCTATCTATCTATCTATCTATCTATCTATCTATCTATCTATCTATCTATCTATCTATCTATCTATCTATCTTTCTATCTTTCTATCTATCTATCTATCTATCTATCTATCTATCTATCCATCCATCTATCTATCTATCCATTCATCTATCTATCTATCCATCTATCTATCTATCAATTCTTCCGTCCATCCATCTATCAATGTATCCGGCCATTTTATCAATATACAAAAAGCTTCAATATAAGTGCTTGCTAAAATATACACATATTAAGTAAAAAATTGTGATATATATATATGTATATATACACGTGTGTGTGTGCGCGCGCGCGCGTGTGTGAGCGTGTGTGTGTGTGTGTGTAAAGCATCACAAGAGCATTAATCATAAACTTGAATTAACCGTTTGTTAACTCAAATAAATTTCTTCCCGCCTTTTATAAATATAACATACTTGCATTGCAGTTTATTTGCTATTCAATAAATTAATATTTAATTAGTTAGTTAATTAATTTATTTATATCTATTCATTAATTTATCATTCATTAATTAATATAATTCATTAACGATTTTTGTTTAATTATTCATTTATTTATTCATGTATTTATTTATATTTATTTATTCTTATCCACGTATTAACAATACTGCATCGTTTATTTCTTGTTCAAAAATAAAATTTTTATTATCGAAGATAAATATATATATATATATATTCACATAGAAATTATATATATATATATCATCATTAATTGCATATATATATTTATATATTTATATATTTATATATATATATATAATTTCTACGTTTAAATATAATATTTCGTTAAAACATCAAAACTATTTATTTATTTAGCACCTTTATTATAATAAATAAATAAATAATAGTAATAATTATGAATAAAATATGTTTCCAATTGTGTGATTATTTTCTATATATATTAATGCCTCAACTCCTCCAACAACATTGTCAATGTTTTGTGAGAACGATGATGATGATGATGATGCTGGTGGTCAAGATGATGATGAAATTGATAATGATGATGCTAGATGTAAAGAAAGTGATAGTGATGGTGACAATGAGGCTATTGTTGAAGATGATGATGAAAGTGATGACGATGATCATTATGATACAAATTATTGTATTGGATGACTGTGACACACATTTTCTCTCTCTCTCTCTCTCTCCCTCTCTCTCTCTCTCTATCTATCTATCTCTATCTATCTCTCTCTCTCTCTCACACACATATACACATATCGACATTATCATCACGAAACACGTAAACATACCTAACTCCTATCACACATACATCTACTTGATCATTCAAACTTGAATTAAATTTAACAAATAATTCAGTTTTTCAACAAAATGGACATCAATGTTCCAAACCTACCTAAGTTTGCTCTGTGTGTATATGTGTGTATATGTCTATGTACGTGTGAATGTTTGTCTGTGTGTGTATTTTTAGTTATGTGTATGATGAAGTGAGTGTGTTGTTTTTTTTGTATTGAAAAGGAATGAATATCGAACGAAAAGAAAAAAGTCACACACACACATTATGATGATATTTGGCTTCAAAACGGAAACATAGCAGACATATGAATATATGAATAAATAGTTTTATTAATAAACAATATATGCAAATGTATGTGTGAGTGTGTGTTTGTGTGTGTGTAGTGTGTTTGTGTGTGTGTAGTGTGTTTGTGTGTGTGTAGTGTGTTTGTGTGTGTGTGTAATGTGTAAACATATACGCAAAAAATACTCCATTTTAGTGTAATACTTAAGAATGTAAGCGAAGCATGGAAGTGCGCGTGCGTGTAAGTGGTTTTACACGTGCAGATATTAATATAATTGGATAGCAAAGTAAATATAGGAATGGATAAATGAATGAATGAATGACTGAATGGTTAGGTAAATGAATGAGAGCACGAATAAATGATGGAATGAAGGATGAATTAATGGGTTAGAGACGCACCGAATATTCGGTCAAAATTTGACATTCAGCAACTGTCATTTTTGAAAGCAGACTGGTAAAAAACTTTAACTTCCGTTTAAACCATCATTTTGTTAGATTCTACATCAATGATTGATTATGATTAGCCGAAAATTTATTTTGGCCGTCATAACTTGAAAAACATTGGAATTAGAATTATCTGGCAATACCGATTAGATGCATCTCTAGAATGAATGAATCAACCAATCAAGCGATAAACTGATTGATCTTTTGGTGGTTGGTTGTAATGTGGTTGAGAAGTTGTTGATATGTTTGTTCATTTGCCGGTAGAGACCATAGATACAGAAAACTAGCGATCTTTTATATCTATGGTTGAGACTTATTTTAATTGTTTTTTCCAATTTTTGTGGCTGGAATGATTTCATTTTGAAGACTGATGGCTGATGAAATAATTCAAGTGAAGAAATGAATTCGTAATGAAAAAATGAATGGGTTGAACGTATAGACGAATGAATGAATGAATATGTGAACGAACGAATGAATGAACAAACTAATAAATAGACAAATAAATTAACTAAGAAATAAATATAATATAAGCATCAGTTAATGCACGCTTCTTCAAAAACCTACGCAAACACAATTCAGATGAATAAAATTCAATGGATAAAATGAATAAATGGTTACAAAGATGACACAAACAAACGTTTATAAAAGGCATATCAACGAAATGTGAAAAGTTTTTTTATAAGGTTACTCTGTTGACCATTACAACAAATATGAATAACTTTTGAAGCATCATAAATTATATATAAATAAATATATACATACACACACACACACATATATATATATATATATATATATATATATATATATATAGATATGTGTGTGTGTGTGTGTGTGTGTATGTTTTTGTCTTTATACTAAGGAAAGTTTCTGATAGGCTTTTACACACAAATTACTTGAAAATATAATTTACACAAAAAATAAATGAAGTCAACAAAAATTCGACAAATCGTGTATGTGCACGTGTGTGTATGTGTGATGTGCGCGAGTGCACATAACTGTCGATGTGTGTGTGGCTGTATATAAGCAGAGGCGTAAAAAAAGGGGGAAGCTTGGAGACTGAAAGCCCCACAAAGGAAAATTTTGCTAGGGTAAAGGGCAAATTTGTAAAGATTTAGACTACCCCGAGTCCTCCACCAAACAACTATTTTAGTAGCAAAAAACTTATTAAAAATTCTTTGACAAGCTATAAAGGAGCTACATTTCCAGTTTTCATAACAAATTTTCATACTCCTTTCGGTAAATTTTTGACTAAGCCACTGTTTATAAGTGTATGTGTTTGTATTTGTGGTGTGTGTTTGTGGTGTGTGTGAGTGTGTGTGTAATTATAAGTGGTATAAAAATTATGTTTATATATAAACCTGTACGTTTGTAAGCGTAGTTAAATAAGTCAGTGAAATAACGAATGTATAAGTGTGTGTATGTAGTTGAGATGGTGTGTGTGTATAGGTTTGTATGCATATGAGTGTGTGTAAGTGTGTGTTTATGTGTAACACACACACACAAACACACACACATATAACACTTGAATCTCATCGACTGCAAAAAATTGTATCAAAGTCCATCAAAATTCAATGGTTACATGCCGTTACTGCATACTAAATAAATTAACTATAAATATTTTCATTATATAATTAATTAATTAATAAATAATTGTTCTAAATGTTTCAGAAAAATTTATTATTGTTATCAATTAATAATAATATCAATTAATTATATAAACTAGAAAAATAATAAAAATAAAACAGTTAATTTAAATTTATTATAACAACAAAACCTCAATACAACTAAGATTCGTTATGTGTGTGTATATATATATATATATATATATATATATATATATATATATATATATATATATATATATGTTGGTAATAGACCATAATTTTTACAATATTCTATAAATTCTACCGAATGTTTGGCGAACTACAAACATATTAACGCCAAACATTCGGTAGAATTTATAGAATATTGTAAAAATATATATATGTGTGTGTGTGTGTGTTTGCGTATGTGTACGTATGCATGTGTTATTATAAGCTTTAAAGCTTATTTATTTAGATGCAGGCTTTGATTCATTAATTTTAATGTTAACTATTAAAACACATCTACGTATAACTTAATTCGAAAAAAACTCCAAGAAAAAAAAGTGAGAAAAATAAACACACACACACCCACACACACACACACATAATATATAATCCCACATGCACACGCACACACAATACACATAGAACTCTTTACAAAGCAATATATATATATATATATATATATATATATATATATATATATATATATATATATATATATAT